AAAAAAAAAAAAAAAAAAAAAAAAAAAAAATTCGTCATACTTGTATGAATATACAAGCCCTGAGAAAATAAACTATTTCCAAGAATTTATTAGAGCGAGAGACATTGCCTGGGAAAATAAATCATTTCCAAGAATTTATCAGAGTTCGTTCCAGCAATATCTTGGTCATTAACATAGCAACATTTACTTTGTTTCTGGATGGATCTAATTTTTACAATGAAAATTAATAATGTGAAGAAGCCCCAAAACCTGAAATAAGCTAGAATAAATAGATGACCAGGTGAAGAACAGCACTGCCCATACCATGTATCTTTCATTTGCCTATGTGTCTATCCCTTCTATCAAACTGTAAGCTTCTTGAGAATAGGAACCTTGTCTTACCCATTTTCATATCCAGAGATGATACTCAAAATATTTAGCAAGCAGTACAAGAGAGGTTCTGACAAATTAGAATGGATGCTAACTGTAAGTCACCAATATGGCTGACTCATATGCTGGTTAAATGCAGTCATCCCTTGGTATCCATGAGGGATTGGTCCCAAAACCCACTGGACTCACCACAGCCTCAAGCCTCCTCCCCATAGATACGAAAATCCACAGCTTACAGTTTGGTAGAAGGAATAGACACATAAACAAATAGTATTTACATATAACCTAGGCACATCCTCATTTATACTTTAAATCATCTCTAGATTATGTATAATACACAATAAAATGCCTACACATCACTTCATGTGTGCAGATTTCTGCATAGTACTTGGCACATGGCAAATTCAAATTTTGCTTAGAAATTTTGTGAATGTTTTCTTTCCAAATGTTTTTGATCCACAATTGGTTGAATCAATGGATACAGAGGGGCAACTGTATTAGTTTATTCTGTCCTCAGTGTCTTGTACAATGCCTGGGAAAATACTAGATATTCGACAAATATTTGATGAATGCATGAAAAATGAATAAGTGCATAAATTCTACAAGCAGATCATCCCACCAAAGCCTGGCTCTGCCTGGATTGTCATACTATCACGCTTAAGGTCCTCTTTGGGGCCAAGCATAATGGGTCTCGTCTGTAATCACAGTACTCTGGGAGACCAACGCAGGAGGATCGCTTGAGCCCTGGAGTTCCAGACCAACCTGGACAATATAGTGAGACCCCATCTCTACAAAAAATTTAAAATTAGCCAGGCATGGTGGCATGCATGGATAGTGACAGCTACTTGGGAGGCTTAGGCAAGAGGATGCCTTGAGCCCAGAAGTTTGAGGTTACAGTGAGATATTATTGAACCGCCGCACTCCAGCCTACTGGGCTACAGAGCAAGACCCTGTCTCTAAAACAAAACAAACAAACAAACAAACAAAACTCCTTTGGGCTCACTCCTCACTGCTCAGTGCAGGAGAGGACTGAAGCTATTATGGAAGCCACTGTGACCTGTGCAACCTAATGTACCCTGGAACAGTTGGCAATGAATTTAATTAGTCCAGCACTTTGTGGTAGTCACTACAACCTTATGAATTATGGGAAAATAATTTCAGTAATAAACATAGATATCACAACAACGCCCTTCC